TTTTTCTTATAGTAGATTTAGCTAAAAGGGTTTTATTTTTTCTCTCCCCTTTCTGTCTCTCTCTGTCTCTGTCTCTCTCTTTCTCTGTGTGTGTGTGCATGTGCATGCATGTGGTATGTGTGAAAGTGTTCTTGCATGTTAGTGCAGACATGTGCATGCCACAGCACATGTGTGGGGGTTGGAGGACAACCCTGGGTCCTTGTCTGAGACAGGGTCTCTTGGCTGTTCTTATCTGTATAGGCCAAACTCGCTGTCTGAGAATTTCTGGGCGTTCCCTAGTCTCTGCCTCCCATCTTACCTTAGGGGTACTTGGATATAGATGGGCATCACCACCACGGGCTTTATGTGGGCTCTGGGATCAGACTGTTCTTCATGCTTGCACAGCAAGCACTCTACCCACTGAGCCATCTCCTCAGCCCTAGATGAAGGGGTTTTGTCAAAGAGAAGACTTTGCCATGTCTCAATGATTACTATTGTCAAAAATATACAAATGTATCCCAATGAAAACTTCCTCATTAATAAATACTAAAATGCCAGTGATAAAATGCCAGTTGTTGAGACCCCAAATTTTCCTTTAGAACCCCTAACATTTCACTTATTTGTAGCTGCTTACCCCCTAGGGCTCTCTCCTCTTCCCTCCCTGGCAACAAAGAACTACAAAAATCATCTGCCAGAAACTAAAAAAGTCCACCTTTGTTTAATACAGGAGTTAGGCACACGAAGTTGCCTGCACTAAAAAAATTCATCCCTTAAATATGTACATTTCCCTTTGGAAGAAATCTCCATTCCAGTTTGTAATCTATTTAATGATGAATATATTCACATTGTTGTATTGCATCCTTTTTCTCTCTTGGTTTTGCAGTTATTTACATTTAATTTTAACAGTAGCTGCTATCTATTGGACGTCCCACACTACACAGGCAGCAGTTCTCAAAGCCTTACAACTAGGAGATATGTATAGATTCTAGCCCCATTTTGCAGGTCAAAGAACTAAAGCTAAAAGAAGGGATGCAATTTGCTGAAGGTCAAACAGTCATCAGTCAGATGAGAGAGCCAGGATTTTAACTCTCTGAGGTCCAGGTGTTTATCTACCATGCTGTATTACCCATAGAGCTCTAATCAATATTCATTCAGATTACACCATGTTTGTTTCTCAGGTATAAAGAGGTTATTCAGGGTGAAACTATTCTGTCCTTTGCCATTTGTTCCCGAGGCATGCTCCTTGGCTGTTTTTACATCTGATGTGATTCTCCACTGAATAACCATCATGGAGAGCCAGCCTCACTGGATCTCATGAGTTTTGGCAATGAAGAATGCACATGGAAGATCTGCTATCTGGTTTCATTTTGTTTTTTGTTTTTGGAGATAGAGTTTCATTATATAGCTCAGGTTGGCCTCAAACTCATCATCCTCCTGTCTCAGCTTGCTGAGTGCTGGATTGTAGGCCTGCATCATCATGTTCAGCTTTATCTAGGTTCTCTTTTGTCTTGTTGTTTTGGTTTTGGCTTTTTGAGACAAGTCCTTACTCTCCTGTCCAGGATGGCCTGGAACACAGAGAGCCCAGGTTGGCATCAAACTCATGGCACTATCTTCCTTCCTCAGTCTCCTAATCCTGGGATCATGGGTGAAACACCATGGTCTGCTGCCTTGTGCTTAATGTCTTTTTGTTTTTCCGTCTTTCGATTAAGTGATTGATTCTTCATGGACTTCTGAGAGCTAATTGTAGGGAAGAGATGACTTCAGTTTCATAAACTCTAGTTCTTCCAGAAATCACACTTTGGTTTGGTTGTATCATTGTGTTTTACAAACTCCTGCTGTAAATACATCAGAAAGTTCGCTGAGGTCATTTCTAATGCTGAGATCCAACATACCCTCAATTCTCTTGGTTGTCTCCTAAACTTCCTTTTTGCTTATTTGTTTTGAGTTTACAATTGCTGATGGATCTTAACGGGTCTGTTTTTACTGCTTATGGCTCTCATTAAGTGCATGCGGCCATGTTTCTTTGCTCATTACCACAGATGGTATTTGAAAACACCACTTAACTACATTGGCCTGGCTTGAGTTTCAGTTTTGAAGGTGAGAGCAGAATGTAAGCAAGTCTTCCATGACTGTCTGATTTGTGGGTTTCTATGTCACTCAAACTCATTGGGTGCAGCCCTTGTGGCACTCAAGTATGAACTGTCATCAGCCAGAAGAGTGGTTAATTTTCCCAATGCAGCCAACTGACTGAGGTTTAAAGCTTAGGAACTACTTTAAAAATTTTTTTAACTAAAAATTCTAATTTATGTGCATGTGTATGTCTGTGTGTACGTATGTGCACGTGTATGGGCAACTTCAGAGGCCAGAAGAGGGTGTCAGATTCCCTGGAGCTGGAGTTACAGGAAGTTGTAAGCGGTCCAACATGGGTGTTGGAAACTGAACTCAAGTCCTCTGCAAGTGCTCTGCAAGTGCTGGTAACCACTGAGCCCTCTCTCCAACCCCAAGTACTTTACTTTCTGAGTCAGTGCTCTCAGGACCTTGGGAATCATTTCTAGTCCCTTCTCTGCACCCTGAGTCACCAGCCCATTCCTAAAAGCCTAGCCTCTGCAGCCTCCTGAAAAAGGTTAGATAGTGCTCAGTTTCCAAGCTGACTTTGGCAAAGCATTGAACAAACTCAAAATGTACCCAAGTAGGGGTGTTCCCTTCCATATTTCCTTCTGAAATCTCCAGAAATGGGCCTGTTCTAAACTCTTGGCAGTGTTTCAGAGACGCTCTCTGAGCCATTCTCATGAGTCACACCTTATTATCAAAGTTATGGTAGCTATTAGCTAACAATTGGACCCAAGGGCAGGATTACAGAATTTTTCAGGAGCAAGTGTGAAAATCAGAAAGATGGAATTATTTTGTAGAGACAGAGGTGTCAATGTTTATACCATATTATGGAAAGTGTGCCTCGGGACAGACCGTCACATCCTTACCCTTCGCAAATGTGACCCAAATAACAGAGAAACAAGAAACCCAAAATATCACACCAACTGAACTCCTGCACATGCCTTGGGGCCCCGTGGAATTCAGAAAGGCAGGGTGCTTTCTTCCGGGTTCCAGCCAGGTGTCTGTGAGAAAGGCTGGTCTTTTGATAGGGGACTAAGGTGTCGTTCCTCTTCAAGGGCAATGACTACATCAAAAACCGCTGGGAACAGTTGATATGTGACAGTGTTTTTCAAAGAAAGGTCAAATGTCAGTGCCAAGTACGTAAAAGCATTCCATTTCTCTCAAAAAAATCTCCATCACAACTTCCCTGAATGTGCCCCAGATTTACAAAAATAATTCTCTAAGGCAATGTTAATTGCACCAGGGACCACTGTATCTGTCGTTTATCACACCGGGAATCAGTGTGTTATAAAATAATGAACAGGGCCGTCTCCTAAACTGAATCCAGAATGTATTTATTTTATTGTTTCAGACCACTGATGGCTTGAGCTGGGAACATGAATGAGGATGTATATGTTTACACATATCATCTCTTTACACTAGGAGGCTCCTCCCGATGCACAGACACATCCCGTCCTGGAGATTACAGCCTTTATCCGAAGTTTTTGCTCTAAAGGGTATCTTTAAATGTACATAGCTCCAATCTTTAGAAGAAAATTAAAGCGAATTCAAGTCTGTATTGTCTATCCCTTCTTTTCAGGTTAGCAGTTTATTTCCGCATTAATCACCCTGACAGAAGCAAGGCAACTCAATTTTCTGCTTCTGTAGGTAGGCACATCACTTTCTGTACAGCACGAGGCATGAAAAGGGCTGCAGCTAAGCTTTGGTTACTGGTGTAATTGAAATGCTATCCACACTATAGGGTGCATTAAAGTCAGATAACGGCAGTTCCTGTGGCCAATTTAAGTAGCTTGACTTCCCTGGGAAAAAAAAAATTGCCTGACAGATAAGGCAGACAAACTGGCTAATTCTCCAAGCATGTCTCTCATTGTGATCCTAGAAAAATGAGAAAAAAATGAATCACAGAACCACAAAATCAATTGACCCTCGGGTAGCTCATCAGGCAGCGAGCCTGATAAACCTAAAAGCTTTGTTAATGTCTGCCTGCCTGTGTCCCACAGATAGAGCACTTTGTAAATGAACCTGCTTTGATAAATATATTAAGGAAAGCTGTGAATAAAGCCAGAGACTTCTCATTTGTAAATACAACCTCTGCTACATGGAATTAGAATGATAAAATGGAGTTCCATGTAATTAAGTTTGTATAAGGCCTGAAATCCGTGCAAATACTTCCCCTGAATTTTGAAAGAGAACTGTCAGTTCAATTAATCTGAACATCACCCCAAGAATGTACAGAACAAAATTAAGCCGCTGATAAAACCCAGGCCAGTATTTTGATAAGTAATTCCTATACCATTTCTTGGCCACTGTGATCATTTTATTTAATCCTCTGCCCCGCCTTTCCCTCAGTTACCCTCTAAGCCATGTACAAAGGGTAGGTGGCCCATACACCACCATGCCAATGAGCTACCAAATCGCAAAGCTAAACATGGAAACCTCTTTTTTCCTACTAATAAAAAAAATTAGGGTAAATAAATTTCTAGGAGGAGATACAAAACCCCCCATATCCTTGTTGCTCCTCAAAGCCCAGACAAAAGAAGCCTTCCGCAAGTGCTGAGCATCTGTGAGGGCTGGAAAACACATGTAATAATATCCAACAGGAATGACCCAGACAGAATCTGTGATTCAAATGGAGAATTTTTAAACCATCAGAGATGAGAAAAGTGAGGCGGAAAGGAAGAGCAAGAGAGAAGAAAAAGAAAGATCTAGAAAAAGAAGAACGCTCACAAAGCCACGTGCTAGGCTGCCTCTCCCTTGGCCTAAGCACTAATTTCACACCTCAAGAAAGACATACAGAAGTTATCCAGGACTTCTTTGTTTTAGAAACAAAACCAGGAAGAAAGGAAAACAATTATTTAGAAATCTCATTCTAGCCAAGGGAGAAAAACATTGATTTTTGGGTCACTCACCAGTTGTTTACTTGGAGAATTGTCAGTCCTGTGTCTTGAGCTAACTGTTTCTTCTGCTCCTCAGAAGGGTACGGGTGCTAATGGAAAGACAAATGTTTTAGAAGATGTATCAGAAGTTAAGAAAGAGTCACTTACTTCTAAGAGTGAAACCACCATTGGTGATTTCTTTAGTCAACGACTTTCTTTTCCTCACCACATTTTTCAAAAATATAGATAACTTGCTGAGAAGTGTGGGCAGGGACAAGAATCTAGAAGCCCATGGCCAACCCCATGTTCCTGTCACATGCTGCAGAGCCGGTGATAAAAGGCCAGGTGCCTTTAAGTCACTTGATTTCTTTGATCAGTCAGGGATGGAAAGCACTTGGGGGTGGCATCTGGATTCTGGGTATCTCCATTCATGTCAGTTGTATTGAGGGAACTCGAAGTCCCATTTCCCTGGCTCCCGAGTGGGCATGTGTAGAACTCCTGCTCCATGCTGTTTTTGAGAGATGTCTCTCCACAGTGATTGTTTCCCAGTTAATCTGAGGCTAACGACAGTAAAAGTTTGGACAGTGGGAGCAATAGGAATCACAACTGTTTTAGAAGCCAGGCAAATGACTGGATTATAGCATAGTTAATGGACCTCCTTTTCACGTGGATTCCATGGTGGGATGCTGGGGGATTCTTTCATTTTCACTAAGTAGTGCTCAAAGCTAACATGGTCACATATACAGTGGGCCTTAAGTCAAAGGAGTCAGTTATATGCAAGACTTGCTATGGAAATTTTATATTTTCGGTTTCAATTTTAACTCTTTCCTTCTCATCAATCAAGGTTGATAACAATCTTCCCATGATCACCCCTTTTCGCCTACTCATCTTGAAATCCAGGATTATTGTTTTAGAGTTGCATGTTTCTTTCAAGAAGCCCTGCACTGGACTGTATATGTAATTATGAAACTTATCTGTGACATAGATCCTGGACCAAAATTCACTGGTCCTCTTCAACAGAAAAGTAAGTGCTTATCTCATATATCAAAGTTGTTCATAAACGAGAACATTGAGTTATAACTATTTCCCATCAATACCATTAAAGTGTTATCGAGGAGCTGGAGAGATGGCTCAGCAACTAAGAGCTTGTACTATTCTTGCAGGGGAATGGGTTTGGTTCTCTGCACTCAAGTTGGGTGGCTCATAACCCCTTATAACTTCAGTTCTAGGGGATCTGATGTCTCTGGGTTCTGTGGGCACCTGCACTCATGTGCACATATCTACTCCCCATAGAGACACATATGTATACACATGATTAAAAATAAAATAAATCTATAAAGCATTGTGAAGAACAGCAGCAATCCTTCCTAATCATCCTGGCATTTGTGAGAGAATGTTTTTCAATCATGTAAGATTTCGTTCTTCAGGTATTTCGTCTTCTGTAATAGCATATATTATCCAAAATGTGCACAATTGCTTATTAGAAGACCCACATGCCATCAGGTTAAATAAAATCCCCTGTATAGCAAAAGGGTTAACAAGATCTGTATTAATATAGAAGCCAGGCTTTTAATATTCTGCAAATGTTAACAAAGAAAGATGATAATGTTGAATTAATATGGGTTAAGCATAAAATGAAAATAAATTTTTCTGATTGCGAGGTGTTGACACTTTTTTGGCTAGGGCCTGAAGCCTGTTCCTGAAAGCTGTGTAATTACAGAAGGCTTTGCCCCTCCTTCCCCCTCCTGCTAGAGCCTCCCCACATTAGTAATGACCCCTTCACTGCTTCAAAAACCACTAATGGTCTTCAGCACAGGCAAGAAAAATGAACAGGGTAAATTGGAATCCACAGTCAGTAATTTGCATCCTATGAGGCTGCTTGGGCCACTCATACTCATTCCTGGCCATCAATCGCTGCCTGTCAGGTACTGCACTCTGCTTCCATGACAAATTCTCCTCCTAACACTCCGATTCGTCCAAACAATGTAATTGTCCTCTAGTCTCCTTTTGGTAATGGAGATAATGAATGACTACACAAACAAGAAGGATTGCTCATCACAGACGCAGAGGTGCCTTCAAACTGGAAAAGGCCTAGAGTACAAATTTTAATTGACTGAAAACACTGGTTGGGGAACAAATGACATTAAAAAAAAAAAAAACTTTTTTATCAAGGTATTTCCTATCCAAATTCAAGGAAGTAGTTCCCTTTTGAGTTTCTGCCCCTCTACAATTTTTTGGGTTTATAGGTTGTCAGTCCAGGGGGAAAAATTCTGCAAAAAGCAAAAATCAAAAGGAAAATAAGGAGATATCCCACCAAACATATAGAACTGCACTGGTAATGTGACTCTGTGCACTGCCTCCTTAGGCAGCACCTGTGATGCCCTCCCACCCCGACACAATGTGTATGTATGTGTGTGTGTGTGTGTGTGTGTGTGTGTGTGTGTGTGTGTATGTCTGTGTGTCTGTATATGTTCATTGTTGCTTACTGCATTTACCTAATAAATTTTTTGGTTCACAATTAATACAGTTATACAATATTGAACTCAGTATAAACCCTGTAAGACATAAAATTGAATGAGTTTTTAACCTTTAAAAAAGATCTCCATTTCAGTATGTAAGAAACATACTGTTTCTTACAGAAAGATTCATTGCTTTGGCTAATGACACCTAGATGTTGGCGCATGCGTCTCTAATCTGTATGTATCTGATTATTACTAGTCGTGGTCGGTTGCACTAGAATCCTTGGCACTTGTGTATGGATATAAAGTCATCGGGTAGATTGTGTGTGTGTGTGTGTGTGTGTGTGTGTGTGTGTATGTCTGTGTGTCTGTATATGTTCATTGTTGCTTACTGCATTTACCTAAGAAAGTTCTGACAAAGTGTGGGTTATGGGTGTATGTATGTGTGTGTATGACACAGACAAATAGACATGTGGGGGGCAGATTAGATGAAAAAATTGTTTAGTGGAAGCAGAAAGTAAGTGTTACTAGAGAACCAATTCCTTCTAGTTTGATCGTAAATTCTGATTGGATAACAAGAATGCTTTCCAGTGTTTTATTAGAAATGCAGTCAGATGACTGCAAAATTATATAAACAGTGCATTTCATCTTGGGAATCCCTATGTGATACTTTCATATTTCATAAGCAGTTACAAGTTCTAGCCACAATCATTAAAAAAAATTGGTACCTTACCAAAATTCACCTTGCACAGATGGCTTTTTTTTAATTAATAGGGAACACCTAGTAAGTTTTAATGTATTTAAATACCATTCTGTGGGTTTTGCACATTCCAGATTCCATAGCCCTGTATGCATAGGGTGGACTGTTTATCTCTCTGTACTCTGGCAGTCAGCCATGAGATTTCTAAAATTAAAAGAGCGATGGGAAACAATCAGCTTTCAGAGCAATTGGAACCATGACAATGTGTTTTGGATTAATTTACAAATATATGTATATATTTAAGGCCAAACTGTGGAACTGGGAGATTTCTACTATGTGGTGTATTGTATGCATTCTTCTGCTTTATTAGACTAGACATCGTACTGAAATAATAAACATGGGAAGCCTTCGCTCCTTCTTTGATGAACACTACTAAATGTCTCACTGGCTCAAATTTAAAATAAACTTCAGTATGTTTGCACTTGAAAACTGCAAGTAGACCACAAGCAGTAATTTGTTGTCAGTTTCCATATTCTTGGACTAAAGCAGTAGTTTAGTCTGTTCGCTGTTGGGGGCCGACTCATGTGGGAGCAGTGACCTTAAGGTGGCCGGACTCTCTCATAAGAGTACACATTATAACGCAGTAGCAGTGATGATGATTTCCTTCATCAGAGCAGCAAAAGTTAAGGTCTTTCACATCTCAAAATAATTCCAAGTCCACTGGTGGCTGGAAGCATTATCACAAAGACCTTCTTGTGGTATCAGCTAACAAATGTTCAAAAAATTAACAAGACATGGATGGCGCATGAGTCAGTAGAGAAAGAAAATGTTCTTTAATTGCCTTTCTTGTAAATATTTGCTTGCAAGTAAGATATCTTTATTCAGGATACTACAGACCCCCTCGTCCCCTTCATCTTCCTTTCTCCTCTCCCTCCTCCTCCTCTGCCTCCTTTTCCTTCTCCCCCTTCTCCTCTTCCTCTCTCCTTTACCTCCTCTCCCTCTCCCTCTATTGCCCCCTCTTCCTCTTCCTCCAACTCGTCCTCTTCATCTTTCCCCCCTTCTATTTAGGGCTAGATTATTTATCAAATACATGGAAGCAAATATATAATGCCCACATCTGTAGGGCAGTTGAGTATATGTTCAAGCCCTCTCCAATAATGTCCATACTACAACTAATTTATCATGAGCTTTTTTTCTGTGTTGCCTTGATTTATGCTGATGTTTTAAAATTGTAAGTGATACTTCAAGTCACCCCACGAACTAGAAGTGAACAATGAATTAAAAGGGAATTATTTGAAAGATTCAAACATTGTAAGTAACCTAAATGTCTGTCAACCGAATTGTAGTTGGATGAAATGGGATTTTCTTGCAGAAAGGTAGTGCTCGTATACTGTTAGGTGAAGAAGAGAGTAGAACAATAAATATTAACCATTTGAGGTTAAATAAAAATAAATTAAGTGAAACAGATACAAATATGTGCTTGTAGTACAAGAAAAGTATCTGGAGAAATATAGTTGTGTAAGGTCTAGAGATGAAGACTTCTCCTGTATTGTCCATAATTCAAACAATATTAATTACTATATGAAAATTTAAAATTGTAATTTATTATAATCATAGCTAATTTGTATACTCTACATTTAAAAAGAAACACAGTCTTTTAATTTTTTGTTTTCTTGCCTTTGCAACAGGGTCTCATGTATCCCAAGCTGGTATCAACTCACTATGTAGCTGAGGATGGCCCTGAACTTCTGATCCTCCTGTCTTTATGTCCTTAATGCTGAGATTATCAGGGTGTGATACAATGTTCAGCTTTATGTAGCACTTCTGTGTATTAAGCAAGCAATCTACCTACCATGCCATATCTGCAGTGCTCACTTAATTTTTTTGTGTTTCTTCCCATATTTTTGCCTGCTATCAATATCAAAATAATGCCAACCTCAAAAAGTAAGTT